GATTTTGGAGTACCACTGCTACCAAAAAGTCAATTTGTCCTTGAAGGATGAGCGTGGTTTAGGCCACTTGCTAGAGGTACTGGATGAACTAGGGGAAAATGATGATATGAGGCCAGGGAGACGGTTAGTCCTTCTGTCCCAGTGGCAACACCTACAGTTATTCCTGCAGCAGCCACAAGAGCACGATTTGAACCACAGTTTTATTATGTCAGGCAGCTATTGAGTCCACTATTAGAATCAGGGGCAGAGTTGGCTCTGGTTCCAGGGCCAAAGTGTGTTTCTTTGGCTCTGGTTTCAGGGTTAGAGTGTGTTTCTTAGGTTCTGTGTTCAGGGCTAAATTTGGATTTCTTTCACTGGTTCTGGTTTCAGGTACAGGGTAGATTTCTTTCACTGGCTCTGGTTTCAGGGTCAGGGTGGGTTTCTTTCACTGGTTCTGGTTTCAGGGTCAGGGTAGGTTTCTTTTGATGGTCCTTTTACCCTACACCCACAACTAGGGGAAGAGAAATATTAGCACTCAAACTCCTGACTGACTAGCAGTTAGGCAATGGTAGACTTAAATACTAAAAATAATCGAGGTGTTTGGACACTAGGGCACTGAGCTGAGGGGGTGTGTGTGTCAAGGTTTACTGTTTTGTTGCATTCTAGGGGATTTAATGCTCCTACAAAATGTGGCCCAGATGCCTTAAAGCAATTTGCCACACCAAAGAGGGTGATATAAAAAAGGTAGCCAGTTGTGGCAACACTGCACTTGAAGCAGTTGGTAAATAGAGAGGTAAGATTATTTGACAAAGAAAAGCTGTAAGTGGCAGTTGTGAGCCAGTCCCAGGAGAAGCACACAGACAGTAATCCCCAAAGCAAGCAGATTGTGTGACATTAAGGAGCCAGTAGGCCAAGGTCAGAGTCTTCAGAAGGCAAAGAAATGACAGGCTTGTATTATTTAGGAGAGGGGAAGTTGAAGAGGTTATGACCCTAGAAGAGTGTTGAGTCCCCTTCCTGCCTCCCCAATATCCAGGGGTTCAGTAATCAGGATATATTTTCTCTGGATTTTAATTGTGCTCTCTGTGTGCCAGGAGTTGAGGAAATGGTAGAGCTTACTAATAGCATCCATTCCCCACCTGGGATCCCATGGGCTCATGATATAGGAGGTAGAGAGCCCCATCTTGTTGATAGAATTGGAATGAGGATGTGTATATACAAATGATATTGGCAAGACTAGTATGGGCAGTCTCCATATCTGTTTGGCCACTATTGCAGCCCAAGAAGAACAGCTTCCATTCTGCAGACAGGGCTCAAATGGAAAGTCTACAGTATATCAAAGACTTTTTCTGTCTGAAGGGGTTAGGGAAAAATAATCACACACACTCTCTTGATGGTTTCATTTCTTTATTCTCTCATCCTTTTATTATGCTGTTGTCTCTTATGTTGCACTACTCTGTTGTTACCTTATGTTGTGTTCTCTCGTTGCTTTATTACATATCTCCATCCTATCATGTCTTTTTACAGTTTGTATGTCCCAACAAACTTTTTCAGGCAATATAAGAGTTCTAATTATCCATGAATACCTGCAATCCTCATTTGGGGCTAAAGAGTCAAATTATTTTCTGTAACCTTGACTGGTCAGAATTTATTTTCACAAATTGAGGTCAGGAATGGGTGCAAGGACTTAATCATTTGCCAACTAGCAATAATTGGGCTGTCTTTGTATTTACAACCTAGCCAGATAGTACAGCTGTGTGTCCTTGTGAATTAAAAATCAGAAATATTTATCTAAAAAACCGTTAGCAAGGCTTCTGGTCTAATCTAAAGCGCATTTGAAGCTTTGTATCAGCTTATAGTTCTCAGCCATAAAATTAGAGGAATTTGAGCCACTCTGGCTCCTAGTTTATGATTAATTAGAGCTATGATCAGGAACAGCTTCTTAGTGGAACTCAGTAGGCCCTCAGTGTGTCAAAATTATACAGCATCTTCCTGACAATCCACAGATATAAATGAACAGAAGATTGAGTTGTTTTCATGAGATAAACACACTTTGATACAGGCAGTGGGGGACTCCCCACATACATATACATTATATCAGATACTAAAGGTACAACAGAGGTGAAAGACATTCATTCTGGAGTCTGTTTTCTCATAAGCCTTACTTGAATGAGATATATCCATCAGAGTTTTCCTTTTGGTGGACTGACACCTGAACTTCAATTGTTGCCTGCTGTTCCTCTGACATGGCTACTGGTTACTGGCAAGCCACTCTTTGCAATAGCCTTGTGTCTGGTCATAGTGAAAGCAGACAAAAAGGTCAATAAATGAAGGAGGAATGGATATAAGGTAATGGGGATTTTAATTGGCGCCTAACAGCCTGCTATGGAACAATTTCCTAATCCTATTTGGAGGGACTGTTATAAGTGAGGGTTTCTTGAACCTCAAATCTCCACATGTAAGAGTTGCCCTGGACAGAAATGGTCAAGAGGCAAAGGAGGAAAAGTCTATATCCAATCCAGTGGAGTCAAGCATGGCTGTCAGGCTGAAGCCTCCTTCTTCTGGAATGAGGGACAAGGCCGTTGACTTTTGTGTCTTTAGAAACTTAAGGGAACAGTGTCCTGTTGGGTTTGATGTGTAGGAAGGGAAGTTATCTTGAGACAGATGAGTAAAGGGCTTGAGGTGAAATAGGTTAATCCAATGAGGAAGACTCTTAAGTTTAGCAGCTGTGGTGGTTATAAGAATCACCCTGGAGGGTCCCTGCTATTTAGGAGAAAGGGGAAGGGATGTTGGTCTAGAGGAGAGAGAAGTACCTGGTCCCCAATGCTGAATGGGGATGAAAAGGAGTTGGCATATGTCCAGGTTAGTCAGTGGTCAGTAAAGTTCCATAGGACAGAATGGAGATGACAGAATAAGAGAGTGAGTAGGTGATCAGAGAGACATGAGGGTTTGGGTGAAAGACCAAGAGTCAGAACTGGCTGTCTGTACATGTACTCAAAACAAGGAGGTGGGAAGAGGTCATTTGGGGAGAGCCTGTAGTCTGAGAAGGGCCAGCAGCAGGAGCTTTATCCAATCAAGGTGACGTTCTAGTTACAGTTTGACAAGGATATTTTTTAAAGAGCAGTTAGTTTGTTCTGTCTCTTCTGAGGAGTGGGGATAGCATGGGTTATGGAAATGTGAAGGGATATTGGGGGCTTTGGATAGGGTTTGGGAAGTCTGGGAAGTGAATTCAGGGCCAATGCCCAACTGGAGGGAGGCAGAGATTCCAAACTGGGGAACAATCTCCAGGAGGAGGCGGTCAGAGACTGAGCCCATTTGTTGGTGATTGGGATGCCTCTATCCACCCTGAAAATGTGTCCACCAAGACTAGGAGGTACTTAATGCATCAGATTGTGGGCATGTGGGTAAAGTCAAATTGCCAGTCAGTTCTAGGGAGAGTGCCTCTGGCCTAGTAAGTATGAAAAGGAAAGCTGTGAAAACTAGAGTTGGGGTCTGACATATGACAGATTTTACACAATGCAGTAACAGCCCTTAAGAAATGCAAATCCTTGGGGATAGGCTGTAGGTGAGCCTTAACTAAGTGAAATAAGGCTTGGCTATCAGGATGAAAGCAAGTGTAAATAGGACAGAATTTGTCAAGTGTCAAGGGGTGATAGTGGGGATGTGGGTTGTAAAGCAAGGATGTTCTGTCATAGGTTGCAGCTCTAGCTGCCTCTTTGGCTTAGTTATTTTCCTCTGAGATGATGGACTTGTAGGTCTGGTGGGACTGGCAGGTGGACAATTCCTTTAGCCATGGGAAAATGGCTTTTTGTATGGCCATGCTTTTGTCGGAGTTGGTTGTTGATCCTCCTTTTGTTGTAACTAGTCTGAGCTCTTTCTAGATGGCAAGGAGGGTGGGAAAGGCATATTTAGAGTCTGTGTAGACATTTAGGGATTGTCTTTGTGACACTTGGAAGGCACAGGTGAGAGTTATTAGTTCAGCCTGTTGATTAGTGGTGTGGGCAGGGAAGGTTTATGCCTTAATGACCTCAGCACCTGACACAATAGCGCATAGCTCTCTTTTTGGGTACCCTTGTGTAAAAAGGAGCTGCTGTCTGTATACTAGGCATAGACAGCCTGAGACAATGTGTGCATGAGGGATGGGACAGTAGTTCCTCTAAGGTTTCAACACAAGAATGAGAAGAGGAGTAATCTGTGTTTGAATGGGGAAGAAGGTTTGAGAAGGGCATTGTTCTCATAGCTTTGTTTGGTGGAAAATCCCATCCCTAAGCCAACTTTCAGTAACCTGGCAACATCAGAACGCCTCATCAAAGCCCAGTACCCAGTTCCTGTCATTGGTGATGATAGGGGAAATGGTGTTTGGCAACAGAGGAGTCTTGGATATCCAAGACTTGGGGGTCTACCTGGGAGGCTGGCAAAGGAAATCACAGGTTGGAACCTCTATGTTGGGGAACAAGGAGAAGGAGGAAAGGAGTTCCTGGTGAATCTGGGGCTAGTTAAATGAGAGAGCAAAGGAAATAGAGGCTCCCACTTTGACTAGAAGATGCCTTCCCAGTAAAGGGATAGAACAGGTTGACACCACCAGGAAAGAATGAGTGAGAGGAATGCCCCTGAAAAAGGAATTGAATGGTGGGGTCTGTTGAGATTGGTAAATTTGTCCCCTTAAGCCAGCAATAGGCAAATGAGGAGAGGGGGCTCCCCAAAATTCCTTCAGGACTGAGTAAGTGGTCCTGGTATCTAAGAGGAAGGAGATGGGTCACTCTGATACCATAATGACTACCTGGGGATCCTTGTAGGAAATGACAGTGGTCAGGCCAAGAGAGCCTGGGACCCCTTTAGTAGTCCATGGCTGGGCCTTAAAGATTGGTAATCTGGGTCTGATGTCCTTGTGCTACAAGGGACACAGAGGCAGTCAACAGCCCAATATCCCTCTTGATGGCACCTTGGACATGGCCAGGGTAGCCTTTGGGGATTAGGGCAAGCCTGGGCCTAGTGATCCTCTTGACCACATTTGAGTCAGGGACCTGGTGATCCTCGACCCTTAGGAGGCACAGGAGCCAGAGCAGTCTCTGAAGCTGGTTGAATGGCCTTGGCCAACATTTTGTATTTCTGTTTGTGGGCTTTTTATCTCTCACATGGTAGACTTGAAAGGACAGCACTAAGATTTAAGCCTGCAGGGTTAGGAGTCCTCTCTCCAGACGCTTAAGCTTGGCCCTAATGTCAGGGAAACTCTGGGAAATGAAATAGGTCATGACCTCTTTGAGTTTCTTATAGTTCACTGATTTAAGGGCAACTTTACAAGACCAACCAGGAGGCAAGTTGTAAACAGATCTCCACCTAGAATGCCCTCTAGGGTACTGTAGTACCATTGGGCATCTCAGTTGGGGACTGCCTCAGCCCCACCTGGGTGTGCTGTGTGAGTTTGGTGGATTTCATCTTCATGTGCTCTAGCCTGATCCCAAACTCACTTGCACTCCTTGGGAAGTAGGTTGTTTGTTAGAATCGTGTGTGTGTGTGTGTGTGTGTGTGTGTGTGTGTGTGTGTGTGTAAGGTGAGATTATAGGATTGGATGATAAATTGGAATTCTTTAATGAAAGTAGAGGAGTTAGAGGGGAAAACCCCAGTTTTGTTTTGTTTTTTCTATTTGAGAGAGTTCACTTAATGAAAAGAGAATATGTACTTGACCAGGCCATCCACCCTGGTAACCTCTCACAAAGGGAGAAAGGAGGAGGTCAAACTGCAGAGTGGGGTGAATAGTGGGGGGGGGACTGAAGGCTGCTGGTGGGGTGAAAGTGGGTGATGGAATGAGATTGTTAGGGTAGGACATTGTAGGAGATCGGGAAGAGAAGACCAAAGGAGCCAGAGAAGAAAAAGAAGCTCTGTGTTGGAGCTGATTGGGGGGAGGGTACTTGTTAGCAGAATCAATAATGGTGGAGGTTTCCTCTGGTTCAGACTTTACAGCTAGAAGGAGCTGAGTAGGGGAACAGGAAGAACAGAAGGAAGGCTTGGAGTGAAGATAAGAGAAAACTTTGACATAGGGAACCTCTCTCCATTTACCCAATTGCTGGCAATAGTTGTAAAGGTCCTGTATAATACTGGAATCTAGGGTGTCATTAGGCTGCCATTTGGATGGTTATCTAAGGGGTATTGAGGTCATATTCTACTGCAAAGGCAGATAAAGTTAGAGGCCCTTAACTCAGGTGCTAGGTGTAGCTGGCTGAGGTTCTCCAAAAGGCATCCCAAAGGAGAACCTGGAGGTACAGACTGTGATGCAGTTCCCATAGGTGATGTGGAGAGGAGGTCCAGAGCCTGAAGTCTGAGGTTTCTGAAGGACTCAGGGGGAACTGAATGAAGGCACAAGTCAAACAGTGGGTTGTCACCTCACAGTTCAAGGGCAAAGACTAAGGAGCCCAAGAAGATGTAGATGGCTGGCTGGTACCAAGCCTTTTGAATTAAGTCGAAGGACAAAAACCATGTTCAAAAATTAAGCCTGACCCAAGGAAAATGGTCAGTGGTGGGGACCTTAGGATTAAGAGGATTAACTATAGCCTTAAAGACTGTGGCTTGGGGTACCTCCACCTCCAAGAATACCAGAGGGGTGCCCAACACTCAATAGTTACTTCCTCAGACTCAGGGAAGCTTTTTTTTTTTTTGCCAACTGGGAGGGGAATTTACCAATTGATGGTGTTGGATGGGATGCACAGAGATTGGTTAATGGGAAAATGAGCCTGTTGCAGGTGGTCCTGGTATGGCTCAGACCCCTGAGAAGGGACGGCATATGCACCAGGATATCCTACTGAGGCTTGGCACAAATGTTATGATTTAAGCAACAGATAGCACCTTAGTGAACTGAAGCCAAGGAACAACATAAAGTCTATGGTGATATTTCATTTGTACTGAAATGTGATTTTATTTGTATGTTAATAAATAAAGTTGCCTGGGGATCAGAGCTAATAGCAAGCCATCGCAGAAGCTGGGCGGTAGTGGTGCACGCCTTTAATCCCAGCTCTTGGGAGGCAGAGCTAGGGGGATCTCTGTGTGTTCAAGGATACAGCCAGCATGGAGACACATGCCTTTAATCTCAATACCAACCATAGAAGATCTGGAGGTCTGTAGAGACAGGCAGTGATGAGGCAGTCATGTGGTTGGGTTTACAACCAATGAGAAGGCAGAACAGAAAGTCTATATAACACACAGGAAGTAGTTCTCTTGGCTGGAGAGGACAGCTGCAGCAGTGAAGGGTAAGGCTCTTAGCTCTGACCTCTTGGGCTTTCATCTTTGCATTGGCTCTGTGTTTCTTATTTAATAAGATGGTTATTTCTACAAAAGTCATACTATGCAACAGATCTCATGTGAATTTTATTGATGGAGAGGAAGGTATGCAGAGGATAACTTTAAGACAGGGTGGAAAGGGAAAGAAAGCAGGGCATAATGGCACTTGCTTTTTATAAGGGATCTAGCTTAAGACATAGGGAGGATCTGGGACTCATGACAACAGTAGAAATGTGTTGCATCTTGGCTCTGATGATGAGTCCTGCTATTGTCAGGTAACTGAAAGTTGGCTTCGGGATGGGGTTTTCCACTAAACAGGGCTGTGAGAACAATGCCATTCACATGTCTTGAACTGCTTTCTAAATTTCTGCAGAGACCATCCGTAATTGAGAAGCTGAGGGACAAGCCCTTGAGACTGGACTTTCACTTCAGTTCTTCCACACATGCTGAATATGATCTCTTTCAGATTCCCATGTATATAAATGGAGCTGATAATTCTGTAGTTAATTGGATAAGGTTATGATGTAAACAGGTATCTCAGTGGACAGATCTACATGAAACTTGGAGACCATGTTAGCTAATTGATGAAGTGAGAGGGTTATGAACACTGGAGGGACAAATACAAGAAGCTGAGTTCTAATTGGCTATACTGTAACTGGAGAGTTTAAAAAACAAAACAAAACAGGAAAACAGAAGCTAACAGGCCCCTATCTTGTCCAAAAGAGAGAGCATAAGTTTTCAATTCCAGATGAGGATTCCATTTTACTTTATGCCATACTTCCCAAGCAATCCACCTTGAAGTGAGTTAGTATTCTGTGTTTATTTCATTTTGTTTTGCTTCGTAACTCTTTCAAGGAGAAATTGGCTTCTGCTCAACTGAAAAACAAACTGTCCCATTTTGAGTGCATAAGTTATCACTTGCTGTGCAACAGTTTATCCCAGAGGGTAATGTCATGAAAGAACTCCATTGCATTGGGAATTGGAAGGTAGGTTGGCTAAGCCTTGTGTCAGAGTCTCAGTCTCACACAAGACTGCATTGAAAACACAGGCTGGAATGCTATGCAGTGTGTTCATCATAGCTGTTATTGTTGTAGCCATCACAAGAGCTAATGTCCAGTTCAAGGGTCTCCAGGATTAAGACGGGATTGTTTGCAACTTGCAAAGACTTCAGTCCCTTGTCAGATTTTAGCAGACTCTGACCTCAGTAAGTTCCCCAAATGAAATACTAGCAAGAAAGGTCACACTCCTTTGTTATGTCACAGTTGAGGTGACATCATTTGACTTTTTTTTTTATTTGCTGGAAGAATTCATTAAGTCCAGCCCAAAGTCAAGAGGAAGGGGTCATAGGAAGGAGTAAGCACCAGGAGGCAAGCATCTCTGAGCCTCTCAGCAGTTGGATTCAGTACATTCTCTTCCTGCAGATTGTTATGTCAGAGATAGGAGCCCATCATGATGATTGAAAATGAACACAGCTAATTACCTAAAAATTGAAGGCACTCCTGTACTGTATTGAAAACCCTCTATAATGAAAAATGGAGTTCTTCGCTTTCAATACATGAGTTATTTCAAGTGAATCACTCCTGATTTCATTTAGAGCAATAAAAAGACAGCTATACAAAAGCCCCCGTGTGTCTACTGTGGCCTCTAACATGGCCCTCTCCTTGAGTAACCTACTTTTAAACAGGCCCTAGTGAATAAAGGAAGTGAGGTCCCTCGATATATGGTTTTCAAAGTATATTTACACTCCATTTAGGTCAACAACTTTGATATTTGGCAGAGGTCTCTGAGCAGATGATGGAAATATTTTATCTCACATTTGTGCTGACTTTCTTGTGTTGATATTTCAACTTACAGGATAGGGATTTAATGAGGACAGGATGGGGGAGGATAAAGAACCTTCATTAACTCTCAACACTTAACAATGATTTCATTCTTTTAAAAAGGAGATTCTGGCAACATACCTGAGAATTTGGAATCCCCCCCTCAAAAAAAAAATCATGTTTATTCCAGAATAGTTAAATTAGGACAGGAAGACTCACATTTAACTTATATTTTAATGAGAGAATGAGGAAAAAGTTGTTTGCCCATTTTGGGTGTTTGCATGTGAGTGTCAAGGGCATGCCATTTTATTTTGGAAAAAGGAGAAGCCTTGTATGCATTCCATCCTGTTGTCCCACAGCAGGAACTAAGCTATAAATGGCAAGCTATTGGAGGACCTTTACACATTAGGAAAAGGAGTCAACTCCTTTGACTTGTAATTTTTGAGAAATAAGAATGAAATGCTATGCATGTAGGTCATTTATTTTCTAGATAGTAAAAATCCCTCAAAGGGACTATGCTCAGGGAACAGGTTAGTGATGCTGAAGACAGTATCTGAAAAATGCTGTGTGGAGTCCCTGAGAACTACAGTTCAAAGTTGAGATATCAAAGTCCTGTCTCCACTCAGTCTTTACTCCCATTTGATGTAGAATTAGATGCACAAAGAAAGCATGTCTTTCAAAGAGCCTGATGTGAATGCTAATTTGGTACTGAGGAAGTGTACAATGACAGATCTTATTAGTCTCCACATGGACAATGACCTTTGCCTAGGTCACATGGTTGTTGAGCATGAAATACATGCCTGCAGACTGATTTCATCTGTTATGGAAAGCCTTAGCCATAACTTGACTCAAAACCTAGACCGGCCACACTAGGCATATGTCTGTCTCTTTTGTTTCCCCCTCAGTTTCATTAACTATGAAATGATGATGAGAGTAAATATCTGATAAGATTGTTAGGATAACATGAATTGACATATGAAGTTTTGGTTGTAGCACTAGCACCTGCCACCCTGTCTTGGCATATTAAGTCTTAACTACTTTTATAATTCCTTAAAAGTTCAGGCTCATTATTCTATTTTGGCTCCAATATCTTCATCTATATAATAAACTTCATATTACATGCTCTGAGCACTTGCAGACTTACACTTAGAAAGGGTTTTACAAATCGATGTGCTTTTGTGGTTTCTCTTGATGTTGTCCTGAGGTAGGATGTCATTATATTGGTAGGGCCGGCATTAAAGTAAAAGCATCAGCTTTCTGTCTCTGTGCCCCCAGTATGGAATTATAGAAGTCTGCCACTATACCCTAGCTAAGGTTTCTCTTCCAAATTTAGGTTCAGGACAATGTCAAGTATATACTTATGAACATCCAGGAGAGTCTGGGAGCTTCAGTATGGAACTGTGTGGAGTGTAACCTTTGGAATCTAAAAGGGATGAGTGTGGATTTAAGGGAAACCTGGAAGCAAGAAGGAAGAAGAAACATGTTTTGATTATCAACAGCCTCTAAGACAAATGGTTATTGGTTTGTAGATGACTATGAACTTGAGTGGAAGGAAGCAGTAAGTTAATAATCAGAAACATACTGATGGGTCAAGAGATTAATTAATTTGAGAGAAAGTTTAATTAATTGGATGAATATATGACAAAGACATCATAAGTAGATGTTTTAATTGATAGTTATATCACTAGTGAGGAAGTTAAGGGAGAAAAGCATGCTACATCAGATTTCACCTAGCTTTGGACTCTGCTAGCAAATATATCCAGTTTACTTCTCTGTTGCTATGATAAAACACTGACGAAACCAAGTTACAGGAGGAAAAGCTTTTTTTCTTTCTTATGAGTTTCAGTCCATATCAAGGAAAGCAAAGCAAGGCAGATGATTGAAGTAGAGATTACCAAGAAATGCTGCTCACTGACCTATTCCCTTCGTTTGCTTATTTACCTTTCTTATATAACCCATGACCACCTTCCTAGGGATGAGACCACCTGGAGTAGACTGGGCCTTCCTGTATCAATTAACTACCAAGAAAATGTCCCCATAGAGCAGTGGTTTTCAACCTTATTAATGCTGTTAACCTTTAATACAGTTTCTCACCTTTTGGTGACTCCCAACCTTAACATTATTTTACTGCTATGTCATAACTGTAATTTTGCTAGTGACAAAATGTAATGTAAATATCTGATAGGCAACCCCAAAGGGTCACGACCCACAGGTTGAGAACTACTTTCATAGTGTTTTCCACAGGTTCGTTTGATGGAAGTGATTTTTCAACTGAGGTTTCTTCTTCCTAGTGTGCCAAGCTGACAATCAAGACTTGACATCACAGAAGGTAAGAGACACAGATATGGTTCCCTGAAAGTCTTTGAGAACTGAGCACCAGCTTCTCATCTGCTTGGCAGTTGTTAATCCTCCTCATACCCACCTATCTTCCTCATTTTCCCCTTTGCTTATCAAAACCTCCTGTAAAAGAGATAAGGAAATGTGGGAGTGTCTTCTCTATGAATTCAAATGGGTATGTTGTATTTGTCATCGATTGCAGAAGAAACCCTTGGGTCTTCATTAAACTTACTTTTGGTAACAAAAGATGTCTATGGACCAGGTGGGAGATACATTAGTTACATTTTCACAGAGAATATAAACCCTTTTAGAAAGACTCTATGATTTAAAAACTAGTAAATTAAACTAATAAAATAATGATGTTGATAAGAAATATGATCCTTTTGTAAGCAGTAAATCCAATGAGCTTTTGAGTGATAGTTTTTATTTAAAATGACTGTCAAGGAGTATTTTAAAAATTCAAAGCTAATTGAAATCTTCATTGTTCTAGTTACTTTACACAGTAGGATTTTATGTAAATGGGGTCATCTGTTGTCAGTTGTCACCTTGCATTGTGCCCTGCTTGATTCTGGACTGGAACTTGTAGTATTCCCACATTGCCTGTAGAGGGTGCTGGAGAGGTGCTGCAGAGAGGGCTCCTTCCCTTGGTGCACTGCATTGCTGTGTGGGTGGTTACTACATCTCAGAGGTGCCCAGTAATATCTGAGGCACTCTCTGCTTCAGCTCCTTCTGTGTTCTTTCTTGAACTTACCTTGTTCACTTTCCTCCCCCAAGCTTTATTCCTACCTTCCCTCCTCAGCCCTTCCACTGCCTGCCTGCCAATCTTATGGAGGCAACCCAGAAGATGTCTTTGTGGCAACATCTATATCTTTACCAACAAAGTCTGGACCCATCCCTTGAAGGCCCTGTTCCAAATATGCCCTGTCATTGGTACCCTTCTTCCATCACAGGATGTCCTTTACCGTTCTCTTTTATCCTTTCTTAGGATCTGATCCCCTATTAATAATTAATGTTCCTTTACATTAAGCATTCCCTTTTCAAACTATTACATGGCTTCTGTCTTTTTACTGGGCCTGTTTGTATTAAGTAGCAGATGCTATTAACCTTGCCCATATCTATGATATGCACACCATTTCATGTCATGGCCAGCACATTCCATACAAGCACCTGGAACTCTCTCCTCAGGCATTGGCTTATCATATAGATGAGGCAAGCCAGGAATATGGTGGAGTTCAAGTCATGAAAGCAGCCTTCAGATCCCTGACAGATGGAAGTTGGATGATGAATAATCTGACTTCTGCTTCATTACATGGTCATAGTCCTTTTAAAAAATATATTTTCATTTAGAATTTCATACTTAGATACAATGTATTTTATTCACCCCCTACTTCTAAACACTCCACTGACTGAGCAGTTGTGAGTTCCTGCATTAGCTCCTGTCTTCTGCAGCAATAGTTCTCTCAAGAGGTCTAAGAGCCACACTAATTCAGTCAGTCCTGCTCTATGATACCCCAAACTCCACAGGGTATTGAGTGATCTTCTACAGTGATAAAATCACTCATTGGGTCTTTCCTTGCCTGCATTTCTCCCCACTTTCCAACCAAGGTTTTCTGATGTCATCCCCTAAATCATTCACTAAAATCTCCAGACATGCTTCTAGGGGAACACAAACTATGCCTCAGCCTCAGAGATGAACGAAGAAAGTATCTAAGAAACCAAATAGTCAAGCAGTAGAGTTAAGCACTTACTCCATCTCTGCCCATTTCTCTTTATGTTCCTTCAGGAACCAGCTTTATAAAGATAATTTTATTATGCATTCGAGAGATGAAGACCTAGTAGGCCTATTCTAAACATATAAGCACTACGTATGTTCCACAGAGAAAAACAAAATTAACTTGTTTAAATGTGAATCTCTCTTATGCATGGTGGCTCTGTAGTGCAACCCTGTAAACTTCCACAAGGAAGATTGCCACATGTTGGAGGGCAGACTGGGCTGAAAAATGAGAGCTTGTCTTAAAACTCAAAAGCAAAATAGTGAATCTCTGTGTTCTGGTTTCTTGACTTGGGGAAGAAAGGGTTTATTTCATTTTACAGGTCACAGGCCATCATCAAGGGAAACAAAGGCAGGAACTCAAGACAGAAGCTTGAAGCAGAAACCATTGAGGAATGCTGCTTACTGGTCTTCCCTGCTACACACACACACA